CTATCACATTTGTTCCTAAGACTGTGCAGGCTGCTTTGTCTGATTTGGGCTAGAGGAAAGCAATGCAAGATGAAATGGATGCCTTGCATCAGAATGGCACGTGGGATCTTGTTCCATTACCTCAAGGTGCCAAACCTTTTGGTTATCAGTGGGTATATATACTGTGAAGTATCTTCCAGATGGTTCCATTAAGCGTTTAAAAGCACGTCTCGTTGCCAAAGGTTATACCCAAACTTATGGTGTTGACTATGATGAGACATTTGCCCCCAATGCTAAGATTTCTTCTGTTTGTGTTTTGATTTCTCTTGCTATTAATCGTAATTGCCCTCTGTTTCAGTTAGACGTTAAAAATGTTTTTTTGCATAGTGACTTAGCAGAAGAGGTTTATATGGAGCAACCACCTGGGTTTGTTGCTCAGGGGGAGTATCGTCACAGTGTTTGTCGCTTAAAGAAGGCCTTGTATGCGTTGAAAGTTGAAACAATCACCAAGGGTATGGTTTGGAAAATTCTCTCAGGCAGCATTAAAATATGGTCTCCGTTGGTGTCAAACAGATCATTCAGTATTTCATCAGCATATTGAGGCAGGTTTTATATTTTTGGTTGTATATGTGGATGACATTGTCATCACTGGTGATAACTTAGGGTATTGCTAAACTAAAACAATTCTTGCAACAATGTTTTCATACTAAGGATTTGGGCACACTCAGATATTTTTTGGGAATTGAAGTTGCTCGATCTAAGCGAGGAACAAGCTTGTCTCAGAGGAAATACATGATAGACTTACTCGAGGAAACAAGTTTGTTAGGTGGTCGTCCCGTTGCTGTTCCTATAGATCCGAATCATAAACTTGTGCCTGATGAGGGAGATCCATTTGATGATCCGGGTAGGTACCGTCGACTAGTTGGTAAGTTAATTTAACTCACCATCACTCTACCTGATATCTCCTATGCAGTGAGTGTTGTGAGTCAATTCATGGCAGCCCCTAGGGTATCACACTGGCATGGTGTTCTTTGGATTATTCGATACCTCAAGCAAGCTCCGGGACTTGGATTGTCGTATAATCAAATGGGCATCTCAGGGTAGAAGGTTTTACAGATGCTGATTAGGCTAGCTCCCCTTCGGATAAGAGATCCACTACAAGGTACTGCACTTTCTTTAAAGGTAATCTAGTTACATGAAGGAGTAAAAAGCAGACAGTGGTAGCTCGGTCCAGTGCAGAAGCTGAGTACAGGGCGATGGCCCACACTTCTAGTGAGTTAACATGGTTATAACATTTTCTTGAAGAACTTGGCCTAATAGTAAAGACTCCTGTTTCGTTGTTTTGTGATAACCAAGCAGCTCTCCACATTGCATCCAATCCAGTATTTCATAAGAAAACCAAGCATATTGAAGTTGATTGTCATTTTATTCAAGATAAGATATTGAGTGGAGACATCTCTACACCATTTGTTAAATCTGAAGATCAACTTGCTGATATGTTTACAAAAGCTCTAAGTCATAGTCGGTTGAAGTTCATTTGTTCCAAGCTAGGATTATATGATATATATTCAACAGCTTGAGGGGAAGTGTTAGAATGTATAATGTATATGGGTTATTTAGGAATCTCTCTTATAAGGGGTATGTTGGTCATTTTGTTGTAATGTGAAATAGTTATATATATATATATAGCAGTGAGAGGTCGATTGTTCTCTCACAGAAAATACCCCAAAACCTTTATTACAAAGTGAACAAGATGAACCAGATCTAAGATAAGGTAAGCAAATTGTGAGAGCCGTCGTAACAATTTGATCATACAAATGACTCTGAGAGAGGTATAGACTCTTGTATTGATTGGTAATTGCTTTGGTTTATTCATTGGGGCCCGTAGGGTTTAATGATCGGTATTTTGGGTAATTATTAATTAGTAACATGGGAATATACTGCCAACATTTGCATCGGGTGCTATTGCATTTATTTTGACTTGATTAATTTGATCACGGAAAATTCAGGGGCCTCCGTATGTTTTTGATAAAATGGTTTATATATGTATATATGTTAATTAAATATATTATTTTATCAATTAAATGTTTAATGCGATGAAATAAGAAATAATCAAGGAGTAGAATTAAATGAATTAATAAAGTGTCGGATTGATGGTTTAGAATTATCCGATAGCTAATTAAGTATAGAGGGGTCATTATGCAAATTGAATTAGTGGATAATCACTTTCTAAATGGAGTGCAATTAATTCTATATAGTGGAGTTAGAATTAATTAATGGGCTAATTGAATTGGATCAAAGGGGTCCATTGGAGCCACGAGGATAGTGAGTCCAAAAGATCCTCTCTCCAAGCCCAAATGAATGAATCAAGCCCAAGAGATGGTACGTAGCAAGTGGGATGTAGAGATTGATATGAGCACTTTAAGTGCATGGAGAGATTGATATGAGCACCCCTAGGTGGTTGTAATGAGTGATAATGTCACTTCTAGTAATCCCTATTAAAAGAATGCTTGTAAAGGCATTCTCTAACCTCTTGCCCTTATATACATAGCCTCATATATGCAGTAAAATCTCTACCAAAGTTATAGGGATTACTTGCTCATCTCTTTGTTCCCACCAAGAAGCTTGAGGAAAGTTCATCAATAGGGTCATAGGGGAGACTCTTGAAGGCAAGGATTCCATTGGAGAAAGGATTGTTGATTCAAGCTTGGAGCTGTTTCATCTTTTTTGGCAGTGTGTTTGAGATTTGCTCAAATCTCAAGGTCTATAGCTCTTTTTTCTCTATATAAGTATGTGTCAAAATTGAAGAGAGGAATTAAAAATGAAGAACACAAGGATATACGTGGTTTGGCCACTAGGGCTTACATTCACTACACAAAGCCCAAAGGGCTACATATATGTATTATTCCCTCTTGATTTTGTTTACAATAACCACCTATATTTATAGGTGAATTGGAGAATAGAAATTTTTTGCTCTACAAGTATTCTATAATAAAGGAATTACACAAGAAGCCGAATACAAATATGGCAACAACTTGTTGCTAACATTATGTCAAAGAGTGATTTAAATAATTATTCTTCAACAGTATGCATCATCATCATCTATGTTCCTACAAATGAGTTTCTACACATGAACTTGATCTTGGGTTTATAAACATACTTCCAAAAGTTTTAAAATCCCATTTCCCACTACACATATTGGTTACTCCTTTAACTTTATCAGATACACTTCATGTTCCATGGCTTACTGCTAATCTTGTTTTTTTTATAGTATTAATTAAACAATTAAATTGTAGTGTAAAATTCTTTCCATCTCACTATGTTTTTTCAGCATCTGGTGTCGAAGCAAACGATTGGTAGTAGGCGTAAAGTGGACAACCTATACTTGTTGGATGCTCCTTTGTCACCTCAAGCACATTCAGTTTATGCACTCGCACTTATGTTTAGGACATATTTCTTTTGACTATTTTAAAATTTGTTTTTTATTATTTAGTAACACGGCAGCCTCAGATTTATCCTATGAGACGTGTCACTTAGCTAAACATGATCATTCCTATTATCCTGCTTGTAGTAATAAAACTGCTCAAGCACTTTTTGATCTTGTTTGTTCAAATGTGTAGGGGCCTTCCCCAGCTACTTCTAGTCCTGAATTTTGATATTTTGTCTTGTTATCATAACCATGTTACATGGGTCTACCACATGAAGACCAAAAATGAGGTGTACACTATTTTTAAAATTTTTGTAACAACAATTCAGACTCAGTATGGTCGTACCATTAAAAAAAAAAAAGATTTGATCATGGTAGGTGGTACACTTTTGGGAACGTACAACAGTTCTGTACAGAATTTGGGATTGAGCATTAGATATATAATATTCAAACCCCTTGACTGAATTAAAAAATTGCCACATCCTTGGCTTAGTCAGAGCCATCTGCATTAGCATGAATATTGTCCAATCGTTTTGAGGTGATGCAGTTCTTACAGCTGTCCACATCATTACTAGGCCCCTCCTAGGTTCTTAACTCTATAGCCCCACTCTCAATCCCACATCCCAATCAATCATGTTGGGTAATTTACAAGTATAGGTTCTTTACAAGATGAACCGAACTCTATTCCTAATTACACCATTACCCAACAAATCACATTTTTTGTTTTTAATTCCCCCATGGGTCCTTGGGTGTGTGTGCTTTGTTCAGCAGTTAGGGTAAACTGCTGAACAAAAGATAGTCTCATTGCTCTCCGGAGGGGTAAACGTTCTTGTACTTAGCTTATTTCAATTTTGTTTCTGGTTATGCTCTCACCCTCCAACCGGAGTTTTCTTGTTTATGTTGCCTCGGTTCCTCTTCCTTCTAGTGTTGCAGATGCACTAGCACAACTGCAATAGCGTGATGCTATGACTGAAGAACTGCATGCACTTGAAAAAAATTAGACTTGGGACATGGTTCCGCTTCCTGTTGGACGAAAGGTTGTAGGATGTCGTTGGGTGTTTGTAGTTAAGCACAATCCAGATGGCTCAATTGCTCACTTTAAGTCCCGGTTGGTTGCCAAGGGTTGTGTTTGGACCTATATTGGTTGTTATATATCAATAGTGGGCCATGAGGGGCACATGTGAAATGGACTCCCTGTGTAACTTGTGGCCATGACCAACTTCTAAAATCTCCAACATTAGTAAAGCTCATAACGGTGATGGCCAAATTTTGGAAGATCACCTGAACCCCCAACTACTTGGGTTCTCTATAAATCAAACTCAAGTCTCACGAATAAAATCAAAGAAATACATAATCTGAGGGAAACTAGAAAATCAAGATCAAAACTAAAGATTATTTATTTAACTCCCCTTTTAAGATAAACCAATTTTAACATCTCTTTATTTTGATATTCAAATTACAAACATAAAAAATCTGGACTCCTCCAGCATAGCAATTAAACATATTTCTACATTATTAGGCTACTGTATCCATAACCTATTAACCATTAAAATGATAAGCACACAAATACACAATTTATTCTATAAGGACATACCTGCGGATGGACCATTGATCCTCCAGCCGCGAGGGAATATGCAGTACTTCCAGATGTTGTTGATAAGATCAAACCATCACCTTGCACACAGGTGACAAATGAGTTGTCGCAATAGCATTCCAAATTTGTGAGGAATGATGAAATTCCACGGTCAATGGTAACCTCATTTAATACAAGAATAGGTTCTTCAGTCTCATTTTCAGCTTTTGCTGCTTCTCGAATAACAAGACACTGCAGCCGGTGTCGTAATGTGATACTAATAGGACCCCGAAGGATTGAATCAAGACATTCTTTGTATTGTTCACTATCTGAATAATGTTAAGGATCAATTATGGATTTAAAAAATCTCCTGTAGAAAAAGAAAAAAAATAAATAAATAAAAAAAGAAAGAAAAAAAAAGCAGCTTTTCCAAGGGGTAACTTTAAAACATCAGTTTCCAATATGTTTTAGAAAAGAAAGACCTTTTGGTCAAAGCTGTTTACCACGCAGGTAAATGTGACCAAAGGGCGTCCGTTAATTATTGCAGATGCATATGTGTGTGTGTCTATGAGCAATGCAAATATTTTGACAAAGATGAAGGATACGGAACGGGGTCATAAAACCCAAGGAACCTAGAGAAAATGGGACAACAGGAGGAACTGGCCCTTTGAACATTGATGCCGCCTGCAAATAAGGAAGCAATTATAATTTTTTTCCCTTTATTCCTCCAAGTAAAACTGTATAAAAAAAAGAATACAGCGACACAAGCTACAAGGGGCATCTGCCAGGAAATACAAGAAAACTATATTAAAAGGAAAAACACCATACAAAATCAACGGCTGACTTGAGCTGGGTCGTCTACTACCTAACCTAGCTAAGATAGCCAGAGGCTGGAGTTGGGTAGAGGCGGCCCAGCCAAAGCCCATTGTGCCCCATTAAGAAACTTCACTGTGTAAAAACAGAGAGAGAAACTGATACGAAATTGATGTGGGACTAGCATGACTGCGGGAATAGAATAACTGCAGCACCAAGTTAATGATTGCATCACTGGGAAGCAATTACAATTTCTAACCAAGGTTGAAATGCAATAACAAAGGTGCAACATCGGTCAGGACTAACAACACAACAAAAATACTTGTTAGAATGTTTATATATATATATATATATATATTTATGTTGGGTCATTATGTAATTACATATAGTTGGTAGGGTCATTATGTAATTAGCTTATTCTTGTATCTTTATATAAGCCTCTGTAAGCTTAGGGTTTGTGATATATATATATATAATATACATAGATTTCAGCCGTCTCTCTCTCTCTCTCTCAATTTGAACGTGGTATCAGACCAGCGGTCTGATTAGTGCCGTTGCCGTCGCGAGTTGCATAATCAGTGGCTAGGGTGTGTACTAGCTTCGAGTGACTGGTCCGTGTTGTCTATCGCTGTCTGTAGAGAGAAACCAAGTTGCAGAGTTGTTGATTGAACTGTGTAGCCCATCGACGACTCCTCTAGTTGCTATCGCCAGTTGTTGTCGGTTGTGTAGTCACCGTTTGTGACTGATTTTGTGGTCGGCGGTTTCGTTTGGGACTGATTGTGTGGTCCTTTGCTGTAGCCGAGAGAATTGCAAAAGCTTCACCGTCGTTCCTTGGTTGTTGATTGATTTTTTGGTTGGGGCTTCACCATGTAGTGGTCTCGATTCTCCATTGCAAACCTTGGGTGCTTGATTTTGTTGTCGGCGACAGATTTGTGGTGAGTCGTGGTTCTCGCCAGCGCTGATTGTGAAGAAGAAGGGTGGTGTTTGGCTGCAGGCGTGAAGCTATCCCAACCTTGGTTTACTAAAACTGGAATAGCAGAGAACTGGTTTAGATCCGGCCCGAATTGTAGCAATTTTTCTGAAAGCAGAACAAAGGGATGCTCAGATCATTTCTTTAATGCTGAATTGTATTGAACCCCATATCAACTCCAACTTGTTGAATTTGGACACTGCCAAGGAGATATGGAACCAACTCCAACAATTATATTCAAGTACTCGTAATATCACCAGAATTTATGACGTGTGCAGACAATTCGTTGACATCCAGCAAGGTACTCACAATCCAGAAGAGTACTTCTCACGGGCAATGGGAATTTGTGAAGAAATGAACTTGTATAAGCCCATCACCTCTAATGTGAACTATGTTACCCGGACTCGGGTACGGGTGTCGAACACGGGTGCGCGTCTAGGGGTCGGATTCGTCAATCTATCAATTTTCAGGATACGGGGACACGGATTAAAAGTGTCCAAATATTGGACACGGGTACTTGGACACTTTGAAAAGAGAGAAAAATTTGTAAGTTTTTTATTTTTTATTTTTATGTTTGAGACATTAATCATAAAACTAAAAAATATATATATCAATTGTACTTTTTATAAAAAATTTATAGTTATTACTGCATTTGTTTGCCTCATTTGATTAGTGGCATGCCATGGCTATGCATTCCCCTATTACTGCAGTTTTATGGAACTTGTAAATAAGAAATTCTGAGCTGTAGGGCTTCTTTTGTATACCCAAGGGCGGGTTTGGGCTTGGGCTAATATGCCTCTATATGTGCATCTTGGCATTTGGGCCTGTACAAGTCAAAGAACAATTAAAAAGGATGACTAATTCAATATGGGCTAATATGTCTCTGTATGTGAATTTTAGTCATGGATTGATGCTTGGGTTTTGGCCTGCACAAGTCCAAAGCACAATTAAAAAAATAGCCCATTCAATGTACACGGTATTTATAAGAGTTCTATAAAAAGCAAAGTTACAGCTGTAACCCACCACAGTAGGTAATGCTTTACAGCTGTGTCCCATCCCTTATCTTTTCAGATCCAAATAAACAGGTGTTAAGTTATTAACAATTGCGAGAAACCACGCTCAAGATGGCACAAAAAATTGCGCAAAAGCCAGCGTATGCTAGTTCACAAACAGCAAGTCGTCTTCAACCTCCAGACCACCGATCCGAACCAGAACGCCATTGTTGAAATAAAAAGCTTCGTATGGCTACAAATTTAACAGAAAAAACACGAAAAAAATTCCTGATTCTTCACAAGCATCAAACTACCCATCATTTTATGTATTTTCTTGGTCAGTCGTGTCCGATTGAAGAATGGAGGGTCAGACGCATATCTCGTGTCCGTGTCCATGTCCGTGTCCGTGTCCGTGTCGTGTCGTGTCGTGTCGACACGGGCACTCTGACCTTCGCAGATGAGTCCAGGTAACACAGGATGTGAAGAGCATGCAACAACAAAGTGAGGATTTTTATGCTATTCGGGTTCTCACAGGGTTGTCACCAAAATATGAATCTATTTGAGCACAGATTTTGGGTAGCCCTGCACTTCCCTCTCTTCCTGATATGTTCTCAGACTCCCCATGCAACTCTATCTAGTGGTGCTTCAAGGGATGCTTGAAGTGGTGTCACTGCTCCTCCTAGCAGTGAACGTTCTGCCTTAGTTGTGAACCAGGGTGGCTTTCATTCTTCTCGTGGCGGTGGCGGTCGTCGTGGTCGTGGTCGTGGTCGTGGTCGTGGTAAAGGCAGAGACTTGAAACTCTGCACTCATTGCGGTTTTACTAATCACACTGTCAATTACTGTTGGGATCTTCATGGGAAACCGCCACCTTCTTCCTATACACATCAGTGACCTTTACTGAAAAGGATTCTTCTTTCTCTGCCACACCAACTGCTCCACGCATAGCTGTTGAGCCTGCTATGGTCACGATTCCCCGCGATAAGTATGCTCAGTTTATGTCTCAACAATGGCCTTCCACCTCATCGTCCATGGTTTCCTTTGCCCAATCAGGTAGTGCACCTGCACATCTCTTGTCCTCTTGTCAGAGTCCCTAGACTCTTGACTCTAGCGCATCCAATCACATGACTGGTAGTTCTCATCTCTTATCTGATTTTCAGTCTGTTCCTTCCTCTCAAAGTGTTGGTCTTGCTAATGGCTCATCAACTAAAGTTTTGGATGTGGGAACCACTCATCTCACCTCTTCTATGTCCCTCTCCTTTGTATTATATGTTCCTCAATTCCCTTTTATTTGATGACCATTAGTAAAATTACTAAATCTCTTAACTGCTCCATTACATTTTATCCCACCTGTTATATTTTTCAGGATCTCAAGACAAAGAAGAAGATTGGTACAGGACATGAAGTAGGTGGCTTGTTTTACTTTGATCTTGCACCATCTCCCACGGCTCTTCAATCATCTTTGTCTCCTTTCCAGTGGCACTATCGTCTCGGCCACCCTTCATTATCAGTTTTGCAGCGTCAAGTCCCCAGTCTTAGTCGTGTTGAGTCCATGCTTTGTGAAGCATGACAGCTTAGTAAACATTGTCGTGTATCTTTCAAACCAAGAGCTACTAATCGTGTTGCTAGTCCTTTTCAGTTAATTCATTCAGATGTATGGGGCCAATAAAACATATTTCTATTAATGGATTTCGTTATTTTATGACTTTTGTGGATGATCATTCGCGTATGACTTGGTTGTTTTTAATGAAAAATCATTCTGAGTTATTCTCTATTTTTCAAATATTTGGCAAAGAAATAAAAACTCAATTTGGATGTTCCATTAAAGTTTTACGTTCTGACAATGCCAAATAATATTTCTCGAACCCTTTTGAGACTTATTTTCATACTAAAGGCATCATTCATCAATCATCTTGTACTTATACTCCTCAACAAAACGGAGTAGCTGAATGTAAAAATCGTCATCTCCTGGAAGTATGTCGTGCCCTTTTATTCCATATGCATGTTCCCAAACGTTTTTGGAGTGATGTTGTTCTTACTGCCTGTCATCTTATTAATCGGATGCCCTCGCCGGTGTTATAAGGGAAATCTCCTCATTTTATTCTATTTCCCAACTTCGCATTGTTTAATCTTACTCCTTAGGTCTTTGGATGTGTGTGTTATGTCCATAACCTTGGGCCCGGTCTTGACAAACTCGACCCTCGTGCCATTAAGTGTGTTTTTCTTGGGTATTCTCGCACTCAGAAGGGTTATCGTTGCTACAGTCCTCATTTTCAACGCTATTTCACTAGTGCTGATGTCTCCTTTTCTGAGTCTCTCCCATATTTTTCTGATTCTACTACCCCTCTCGATATTACTCCTGAGCCACCTATGCCAACTGTTCCCTCTCTATTTCCTGACCCCGCACCTCCTCGATCCGTTGTCCCTTTGCAGGTTTATACTCGACAACCTCAATCGCCAACTTTGCTCCCTCCATCTCCTTCAGAGTCTTCGGATCCGACGCCATCTACTATGCTTGATGATTTGCCTATTGCTCTCCGTAAGGGTACTCGGTCGTGTGTTACTGCACATCCCATTTCTAACTTTGTCTCCTACCATAATGTTTCATCCTCTTTATCTTGTTTTTTATCCAAAATGTCTGCTACTTTTGTTTCCAAGACTTTGCAGGATGCTCTCTCTAATTCGGATTGGCGCAAAGCCATGGTAGATGAAATGGATGCCCTTCACCATAATCAGACTTGGGATCTTGTTCCCTTACCTCTGGGCTCCAAAATAGTTGGTTATAAGTTGGTCTACACTGTTAAATACTTCACGATGGGTCTATTGACCGGTTGAAGGCTCGTCGGGTGGCAAAAGGGTATACTCTGACTTATGGTGTTGATTACATTGAGACCTTTTCCCCTGTTGCTAAA